CAGACTCCACATAGACCTCCTGTAGACCACGCGAGGTAGTCAACATCTCATAGCCACCGTGATGATGAGAGAGAGACACAGACTCCACATAGACCTCCTGTAGACCAGGCGAGGTAGTCAACATCTCATAGCCACCGTGATGATGAGAGAGAGACACAGACTCCACATAGACCTCCTGTATACCAGGCGAGGTAGTCAACATCTCCTAGCCACCGTGATGATGATGATGATGATGAGAGAGAGAGAGACACAGACTCCACATCTACAGCAGCAGCAGGCGTTGTCAGGGTCCGGGATCGAACCCACGAACCTCCTGCACACCACCGATTCCGATCGTGCGAATGATCACGATGACGACGATGATGACGATGATCGCCGTGAAGGCCGCGGCCTTACCAGATAGGCTGCTGCTTGAGATGGGTGTACAGGTAAATCTTGATGCCTTGCTCCCTGGCCGCCTCCACTGGTACTGCCGGGACAGACGCACGGTGCCAGAGGCCTCGGCAAACACTCGAAAGACTCACACAGTAGAGACCCACAGACTACTCACACAGTAGAGACCCACAGACTACTCACACAGTAGAGACCCACAGACTACTCACACAGTAGAGACCCACAGACTACTCACACAGTAGAGACCCACAGACTACTCACACAGTAGAGACCCACAGACTACTCACACAGTAGAGACCCACAGACTACTCACACAGTAGAGACCCACAGACTACTCACAAAGTAGAGACCCACAGACTACTCACACAGTAGAGACCCATAGACTACTCACACAGTAGAGACCCACAGACTACTCACACAGTAGAGACCCATAGACTACTCACACAGTAGAGACCCATAGACTACTCACACAGTAGAGACCCACAGACTACTCACACAGTAGAGACCCACAGACTACTCACACAGTAGAGACCCACAGACTACTCACACAGTAGAGACCCACAGACTACTCACACAGTAGAGACCCACAGACTACTCACACAGTAGAGACCCACAGACTACTCACACAGTAGAGACCCACAGACTATACTCACACAGTAGAGACCCACAGACTACTCACACAGTAGAGACCCACAGACTACTCACACAGCAGAGACCCACAGACTACTCACACATTAGAGACCCACAGACTACTCACACAGTAGAGACCCACAGACTACTCACACAGTAGAGACCCACAGACTACTCACACAGTAGAGACCCACAGACTACTCACACAGTAGAGACCCACAGACTACTCACACAGTAGAGACCCACAGACTACTCACACAGTAGAGACCCACAGACTACTCACAAAGTAGAGACCCACAGACTACTCACACAGTAGAGACCCATAGACTACTCACACAGTAGAGACCCACAGACTACTCACACAGTAGAGACCCATAGACTACTCACACAGTAGAGACCCATAGACTACTCACACAGTAGAGACCCACAGACTACTCACACAGTAGAGACCCATAGACTACTCACACAGTAGAGACCCATAGACTACTCACACAGTAGAGACCCACAGACTACTCACACAGTAGAGACCCACAGACTACTCACACAGTAGAGACCCATAGACTACTCACACAGTAGAGACCCACAGACTACTCACACAGTAGAGACCCATAGACTACTCACACAGTAGAGACCCACAGACTACTCACACAGTAGAGACCCACAGACTACTCACACAGTAGAGACCCACAGACTACTCACACAGTAGAGACCCACAGACTACTCACACAGTAGAGACCCACAGACTACTCACACAGTAGAGACCCACAGACTACTCACACAGTAGAGACCCACAGACTACTCACACAGTAGAGACCCACAGACTACTCACACAGTAGAGACCCACAGACTACTCACACAGTAGAGACCCACAGACTATACTCACACAGTAGAGACCCACAGACTACTCACACAGTAGACACCCACAGACTACTCACACAGTAGAGACCCACAGACTACTCACACAGTAGAGACCCACAGACTACTCACACAGTAGAGACCCACAGACTACTCACACAGTAGAGACCCACAGACTACTCACACAGTAGAGACCCATAGACTACTCACACAGTAGAGACCCACAGACTACTCACACAGTAGAGACCCAGAGACTACTCACACAGTAGAGACCCACAGACTACTCACACAGTAGAGACCCACAGACTACTCACACAGTAGAGACCCACAGACTACTCACACAGTAGAGACCCACAGACTACTCACACAGTAGAGACCCACAGACTACTCACACAGTAGAGACCCACAGACTACTCACACAGTAGAGACCCACAGACTACTCACACAGTAGAGACCCACAGACTACTCACACAGTAGAGACCCACAGACTACTCACACAGTAGAGACCCACAGACTACTCACACAGTAGAGACCCACAGACTACTCACACAGTAGAGACCCACAGACTACTCACACAGTAGAGACCCACAGACTACTCACAAAGTAGAGACCCACAGACTACTCACACAGTAGAGACCCATAGACTACTCACACAGTAGAGACCCACAGACTACTCACACAGTAGAGACCCATAAACTACTCACACAGTAGAGACCCATAGACTACTCACACAGTAGAGACCCACAGACTACTCACACAGTAGAGACCCACAGACTACTCACACAGTAGAGACCCACAGACTACTCACACAGTAGAGACCCACAGACTACTCACACAGTAGAGACCCATAGACTACTCACACAGTAGAGACCCACAGACTACTCACACAGTAGAGACCCACAGACTACTCACACAGTAGAGACGCACAGACTATTCACACAGTAGAGACCCACAAACTACTCACACAGTAGAGACCCACAGACTACTCACACAGTAGAGACCCACAGACTACTCACACAGTAGAGACCCACAGACTACTCACACAGTAGAGACCCACAGGTTACTCACACAGTAGAGACCCACAGACTACTCACACAGTAGAGACCCACAGACTACTCACACAGTAGAGACCCACAGACTACTCACACAGTAGAGACCCACAGACTACTCACACAGTAGAGACCCACAGACTACTCACACAGTAGAGACCCACAGACTACTCACACAATAGAGACCCACAGACTACTCACACAGTAGAGACCCACAGACTACTCACACAGTAGAGACCCACAGACTACTCACACAGTAGAGACCCATAGACTACTCACACAGTAGAGACCCATAGACTACTCACACAGTAGAGACCCACAGACTACTCACACAGTAGAGACCCACAGACTACTCACACAGTAGAGACCCAAAGACTACTCACACAGTAGAGACCCACAGACTACTCACACAGTAGAGACCCACAGACTACTCACACAGAGACCCATAGACTACTCACACAGTAGAGACCCACAGACTACTCACACAGTAGAGACCCATAGACTACTCACACAGTAGAGACCCACAGACTACTCACACAGTAGAGACCCACAGACTACTCACACAGTAGAGACCCATAGACTACTCACACAGTAGAGACCCACAGACTACTCACACAGTAGAGACCCACAGACTACTCACACAGTAGAGACCCATAGACTACTCACACAGTAGAGACCCACAGACTACTCACACAGTAGAGACCCACAGACTACTCACACAGTAGAGACCCACAGACTACTCACACAGTAGAGACCCATAGACTACTCACACAGTAGAGACCCACAGACTACTCACACAGTAGAGACCCACAGACTACTCACACAGTAGAGACCCACAGACTACTCACACAGTAGAGACCCACAGACTACTCACACAGTAGATACCCACAGACTACACACACAGTAGAGACCCACAGACTACTCACACAGTAGAGACCCAAAGACTACTCACACAGTAGAGACCCACAGCCTACTCACACAGTAGAGACCCACAGACTACTCACACAGTAGAGACCCATAGACTACTCACACAGTAGAGACCCACAGACTACTCACACAGTAGAGACCCATAGACTACTCACACAGTAGAGACCCATAGACTACTCACACAGTAGAGACCCACAGACTACTCACGCAGTAGAGACCCATAGACTACTCACACAGAGACCCACAATGCACCTGAAATGCACACATAGAGTGGTGAGTGGGTGATTAGTAAGTTGGTGATTAGTGAGTGAGTGTGTGAGTGAGTGTTTGAGTGAGTGTGTGAGTGTTTGAGTGTGTGAGTGAGTGTGTGAGTGTGTGACTGAGTGTGTGAATGTGTGAGTGAGTGTGTGAGTGATTGTGTGTGTGAGTGTGTGTGTGTGATCGATGGCCGGGTGCGGTCAAGGGATGGCTCCCTATTGCTCAACCACGTTATGTATGCTGATGATTTGGTAATAGCTGCTCAGAAGAGGAGTTGGAGACGCTGGAGCGTGCCACTAAGAGGTGGGGCCTTACCATCAGCCCCACCAAAACTAAGCACCTGCCTGGGTGTTTTGTACCATCGGACACTCCACCCCCACAACTCCCAATCGGTGATGGGGCAGTTGTGGAGAGAGTGGAGAGTTTCCCATACCTGGGCAGTGTGCTTATGACTGGCTCCAGTTTAACAGCAGAGGTCTCACTCCGAATCAGTCGAGCGGCAATATCTTTTCATCGGTTGCGTAACGCTGTGCGGAAGCTACCTGGTCTGTCACTCCGCACTAAGCTTCAGGTCTTCTCGGATACGGTCATTCCCTCCCTTCTCTACGCTTGCGAAACGTGGACCCCCTTAATGGAACATCGTCGCCGGTTAGAAACATTTAGGCTGGCCTGCCTACGATCCATCCTGGGTTTAACCTGCAGGCTGGATTGTATGAGGAGCTCACAAATCCTTGAAAGATCTGGGCAAGGTCCCATCTGTGAGCTCCTCCGGCAGGCAAGGCTGCGATGGCTGGGTCATGTAGCCCGCATGCCCAGCCACCGCATGCCGAAACAGCTTTTGTTCGGCCGGATAGAGGGGGCTAAACGGGCGCGGTACGGGCTAGAGAA